AACTTGAACGAAGAGACAAAGCATATGTTTACTGTTGTCGTAACAGTTAATGGTTATGAGAAATGTGTTCTGTGCTGATACACTCCCCAATACCTATACTGTACAGTACATTCATCATCAGTTATTGCTCCAAAAGAGCTTGAAAGGTATCAAGGCTGCTAGTGGCTTCTTTACTCCCTTCTGGGAATGAGGATAAAAAGGTAATGTGTTTTATTCAAAGATACAGCTAGAAAAAGTCAGGCTCCTTTACATGAGAAGATAGGCATCTCAAAAGAACAACAATAAATGCAGGTTATTAATTTCCTTTTCTTCCCGTAGTTAGAGGTTTTAGAGATGCACAGTACCTTTTAAAGATACAGAAATGCATTCTCATTGCTTCTGTGTTGTACTCCTTGTCCTTGAATTGTATATCTCTTATTGGAGATAAGTTCTGAGGTATAAATGTGCAGAGAGAAATCTAATGATCTGCTTTGTATAGTATCTGCTAGTAGGAAGCTTCAAAAGTGCATACCAAATGGCTTTTTAAATCTCTGGTAATTTTGTTTAATAAACTGGCAGACAGTGTTAATCAAAATTTAGGCCTTTGAGAGTGATGTATTAAACTAAAATCATTTGGAAAAGCTTGCAAGACCAAGAACAGATGAGAAATTCTACCCATGTACCTGTAAAGTTGTAACTTGCTATCAATTCAGTGTACTGCTGGGACTCCTGGTGCTTATTTACCTTGTGTCTGTTCTTAGGAGCCTTGTAGTACACACACAAGTGCACCACAGATGAGGTCAAAGCAGTTTCCCACTTAGCAAAACAGAGGCTGAAGTCATGCCCTGTGAAGCCATCAAGAAAGTACCACTTGCAATTTCTTAACAGGGTCATTGAGCAGTCTTGTCTACATACAGTGTACTTGCCTAGGACTGGTAATAGGTGTGCACTTCGTTGCCACTAAAGACATCCTGTGGACAATTGATCCTGAAACCATAATGTGTTGTGGCAAATCATTGTTCCTACCCTCTCTAAACTACACCAGCCAATAATGTAGATCTACTGTGTTTGCTTTTATTGTTTGTATGTAGAACAAGCTACCTAAGTCTGGAAGCTCCTAAAATAGCTACACCCTGAACTCCCCTGATAATTCAGGTGGCATGCAGCAGTTGAACTGTTGTTCTTTGAGTGTGCTTATTCTATGAACAGCTGGGAGAAGCTCACAATCACCAGCCCTTGTTCTCATGGGGCACTTCAACTTGCCAGATGTCTGCTGGAAATACAATACAGCAGAGAGGAAACAGTCTAGAAGGTTCCTGGAGTGTGTGGAAGACAACTTAATGACACAGCTGGTGAGTGAGCCAACTAGGGAAAGCTCCCTGCTGGACCTGTTGTTTGTGAATAGAGAAGGACTTGTGAGAGATGTGGTGCTTTGAGGCAATCTTGGGCACAGCAATCATGAAATTACAGAGTTTTTGATTCTTGGAGAACTAAGGAGGGAGGTCAGCAGAACTGACTTCCAGAAGGCAAACTTTAGCCTGTTGGCAGATTCCCTTGGGCAGCAGTCCTGAAGTGGAAAGGAGTCCAGGAAGGCTGGACATTCCTCGAGAAGGAAATCTTAAAGTTGCAGGAGTAGGTCATCCCCATGTGCTGAAAGTTGAGCTGATGGGGAAGAAGACCGGCCTGGCTGAACAGAGAGCTTTGACTGGAACTCAGGGAAAAAAAAGGAAAATTTATGGCCTTTGGAAGAAGGGGCAGGCAACTCAGGAGGACTACAAGGACGCTGTTAGGGTATGCAGGGAGAAAATTAGAAGGGCCAAAGCTCAACTAGAACTTAATCTGGTTACTGCTGTAAAAGACAACAAAAAATGTTTCTATAAATACATTAGCAGCAAAAGGAGGGCTAAGGAGAATCTCCATCCTTTATTGGATGTGGGGGGAAACATAGTGACAATGGATGAGGAAAAGAATGAGGAACTTCATGCCTTCTTTGCCTCAATCTTTGCCACAGCAAAATGAACTTGAATGTCAAGTGCTATCTGTAGCATACCAAATGCTTGCTTTTAGGTAGGATGGAAATATTTAAGGTAAGGATGGAAATGCTCTCTTCTTAAGATACTTAAAATAGTTGAATAGTGGAAGAGAACAAGGAAAAAGCTGGGGAATATTTTTTGGCTTCTGAAAAGGTCATTTTGAAATACACAGTAAAGAGGTACATAATGGAAGGAAATCATGGCAGATCCAGGATGTGTTGTACTAAATTAGTTTTCTTGGTCACTAACAGTCTGAACTGGAAGAGTATGAAAGATGCCTTCAGGATAAGCAACCATATTGTTAACTTCTTCCTTTTCAATAATATTAATACTTGGCATTTCTTTCCCCCGCTGTTGTGTCTCATAGATATTTTTGTTAGATGTTACCATGTTGTGACACTGTATTTGTACTGGTAAGCATTAAAGATCCTCAATAATTTGAGAGATTTATCCGTTATAAAGTTGTGATAGTTTCACTGGGCTAACCCTTGGCTGGCAGCCAACCTAGCTGTTCACCCACTCCTCCCCACCCCCAGTATATGACTGTATATAAACTGGGGTGGGTTTTTTTAGTCTTTCCATATGGAAGCAGATTTGGCCCTAAGGAATGTAATTTAAGAATGAGTAAAATAACTTTTCATAGAAAACTGACTTTCAGAGAGCCACAGTTTGTGTACTCTATGCATCTGTTCTCCTTCAATATTTTACTTTCCAGATTACTTTTGGCCTTTCAAAATAGCTCTTTCTCCTCACTTTTGTTACCCATGTTTTTAGTTTCTACAATTTTTGTACTTTCATATAAGCTATCTCCTGTGTGATTTATAAAAAAACAATCTGCAAGGTATAGAAAGAACTGTTACCCTTTTCCAGTAATGGAAGCAAATATGCTCTTAATTTCTTTGCATATTATTAATTAAAACATAGTCCATTTGCTAATAATCAGTACCAGTATGCTTTCATCTTACGTATTAATTACTATGCTGTTACGTCCCAAATCCTGTTAAGGGCAAAATGAATCACACCTTATAGTTAAAGCCCAGAATCTGTTCTCAGTGTAATTGAAATCTTAACACTAGAATAAAGAATTATTATTAAACTGGATATGAAATTTTTTTTTTTTCATTATTTTAGTTTTCTTTCTATTACAAGGGCAGAAAGTCTCAATAATAGCACACAATTAAAATTGTTATGCATCTACTTCCTAGAATCTTTCCCTTCCTCTGATGTCATTGTTACTCTTCTCTCTGGGTCTTGAGATCATTCGTTGGCCTCGGTTTGGGATGAGGGGGTGCTATGATGAGTTGTCAGCATTCCAGGTTCTTTGCTGGGCGGAGTATGATACTGCTGCTTTCTTCCTCCTTGCTTTAGGGCCCACTTGGGGCTTCTGTTACACTTCATGCTTCTTTCACTGATCTGCAGCTACATTTTACATCAAAATTTACTGGGGAAATGGGGATTGTCTTACACGCATTGGATGCTTGTCTTTTGATCTCTTTGTTACCCTTAAAACTGGTTTTGACCAGCTCCTGTGTCCTGTTTCTTTAATTCACCATTGCCTTAGCGTTTATAAGCTTGGCATCTCCAGTGTAATCCTGTGACCCCTTTCTTATCATTCCATACTGGTACATTGCATCTTGTGTTTCCACGTTTGTTGTCTCTTCTGTCGTCCCATGCCTACACTACATCAGTATGTTGGTCATAATTTTTTCATCCTATATAGAATAGGAAAAAAAAATTAGTATGTCATGCAAAAATAATGTAAACTAGACATAACCATCTGGTCTTTGGAAAAATTGCTATTTCAGCTAAACAAGTTAAAAAAAAAAAAAAATCCAGGAAAGCCGAGACATATTTGAATAAAGCCTCACAAGATTCAGTCCTAAGGCCTTGCAAAGTTTGTTCAAATCATATTGCTGGAGTTGGCAATGCTGCATTTATGGTGATACAGATCTATCACTAGTTTACATTTATTTCACAACTGTTTTACTAAACTTTCTTTAAAAAAAACCCCATTTTAAAGGGTTTCAGTAAACCCAGGTTTGGTTAATCATCATGGTATGAATTTTTACATTTGTGATCCATCTGTTTAAATCTGATTATACTATGCTAGTGGGAATATTGATGTACAGTAAAATTGAGCATTTATGTAAAAAATGTACTTAAATTATCTTGGAGCTTTTGTAAGGATTATCTGTACTGAAAAGTCAGAAGGCGTATTTAGATGATTCAAGGGTCCCATTTCTGGTTTTCTCATTTGGTAATCAAAAGATATTACGTTTTCCTCTTTAAGGTAGTCATAATGACTCTTCCTATGACTGATGTCTGTCATGTAGATTCTGCAGTTTGACCTTCTAAAAGAATTAATGTCTGTTTCCACAGTTGTCTTGCATCCCTAACCTAATTTCACACCTCTTTCCATAGGGAATTTCACTTTTCTACAAACTCAGCCGTTACTATTTGTCATAGATAAAATGAATCACATTCATAGAGGACACACAATGAGAATTTCATAAAATAGGACGGACTTTTTTTTATACATAATTGGATTATTTTTTCTTACAGTTTTATATATCATTTCATACACCTGAAACCAAACAGGTAAGCTAAACATTTGTATTAGAGGTGGAAATACTTTCATGAAAGGTTGTATGAATCCAGTAGTTTGCAGAATATTTGCAATGAGCACCTTCTGCTGCGAGTGCTTTTTGCCATAGAGATGTGTAAATGTGGCAATTCCAAGTGCGCATAAAGACAGGATTATTTCAAGATAGATTTTGAAAATCTCTGTCTTGAGCTAACTAATTTTCTAACAGAAGTCATTAAGAATTTTATGAGAGCAACATATCTGAAAACACTATCCTAAAAATCAAACAGAGGTAGATTTAAGGTAAACAGTTAAGAATTAAAACAAGCATCACCAGCAGAATGGTTTTCTATTCAATTTCTCTGGCTAAATAAATTGATATATTGTTTTTCTATTTTTTCTAGTGTGTTGTATTTGCTATGACATCTGGTCAGATGTGGAATCATATCCGTGGACCCCCATATGCACATAAAAATCCTCAGAATGGACAAGTGGTGAGCTGATTCTTTTAATTTTATTTAAATTTTTTATATACGCGACATATTATATAGATAGTCACTTCCTACAGTGAGTCTGCAATTGCAAGTAATGAGACTGTATGACGGTGTCCTGGTTTTGCTAGGATAGAGTTAATTTCCTTCTTAGTAGTTAGAATAGCTGTGTTTTAGTTTAGTGCAGGATTTGTTATGAGAAGAATATTGATAAGGTGCTAAAGTTACTAGTTGTTGCTGCTGGAGCCCAAGGCCATCGTGTTCGGGTAGTTTGCAAGTGGAAAGGACTGGGAGAGGAGAAGCGTAGTAAATAGCAAAACCCAGAACTGGCATTTGGATGTGCCAGTGAGATATTCCGTATCATATCACGTCTTGTTCAGTACATTAACCAGGGTTGACTGGAAATCGGGGGTATTCTCTTGGGGTTCGCTCGGGCTCGCTCTTCTGGGGTTTCAGTTTCAGGACTGTCTCGGCTCTGGGATCGCTGACTTGCACAGACTGGGCATTGGTCAGCAGGTAGTGAGCAATTGCACTGTGCATCACTCATTTGTATATTCTGTTATTACTGTTATTATAATTACAATTTTATTTTAGTTAGTCAATTGTTTTTGTCTTAGCCCGTGAGTCTTTTTGCCCTGGTCCTTCCGATTCTCTCCCCTGCTCCCTGAAAGTGAGAGAACAGGCTGTGTTTGGCTGTAGGCTAAAAGGGTGAAACCACCAGAGACAGTCTGTCAGAGTCTTAAGTTTTCAGTTGCAAGCAGGGTCTATGTTGGGATTTCACGTGTTTGGAAAATGCCACCATATTTGATTTGAACAATGAGATGAGTGGCCATGTTTTTCAAAATTCTCTCTGTCAGACTCCCAGCTGTAGTGTATATGTTATAAAATATTCCATACAACACAACTTCCACTGCTCAAAGGTAAATGGATATTCTGTTTGCCTACTGCGAAGGTAAAGAGGACCTTGGCTACTTTCTACCACTCTTTGTTATTTACCAATTTTCAAGCAAGTTATTGGGATGGAATCTACAAAACTTGCAGTGATTTTAGTGGTCAGGAAGCTTTTTCATAACTATTTTCAACTTTGACCATCACTAGTTAAAGGAGACTGGCTTATATCTTAAAGGAAAAAAAAATATTCAAGGCTCCCTTTGTGTCATATCTTACTTGGAGTTGCAAAAAAAATGATTGTTTGAATTTGATTATTGATCTGCTTTTTATCAGTAATGTAGCAGCATACTGATGCCGTAAAATGACATGATTCCATCTGTCAACTTTGTTATGCAGAAGTAGAATTGATAAAGTAATAAATAATCTCTGTAAAACACTGTGTTTATAAAAAAATAGTGTTTTTCATTACTGCCTCGCAGTATCAAATTTATAATGTTTTCCTATGGAGTGACAGAAAGGAGAAATACTGCATAGCAAAAGCACTTTTTATGACAAATTAGTTTTTACCATGTCTGTTTTTATATGCATTGCCCTTCTTAAAAACCTGAAGTATACACTACATTAAATAATTCAAAAATATCCCTTTACTTGTTCCTGAATTTGTGCTGTCTTGTCTCAGTTTTCAGAGTATAAACTCATATCTTATCTGAGTGTTTGAAAAACTACTAGTTTAGGAGTGTTAACATACACAACTAAATAATGAAAGTAATGGTAAAGATGGTTCTAAGTTCTAGACACTAACCTACTATATTAGTCAACATACATACCTCCTTTTCTGGTTTTGCTCCATTATATGACTTCAGGTAAGTTATTTCGTGCCTCTGATTCACCTATCTCTCCTTGTTCATTTGCGTCAGCACTTTCAGCTCCTTGGAGCTATGTCTGTGTCAGTAAGTTAAATCAGTCATGTTCTAAGAATTAAAAAAAGCTTACATGCAGGATTAACAAGTTCTTGCTTTATTTAAAGTATGACTGACCACTAAAGTTGAAAGCTCTGATTTTTAGCAGAGTTAGAAGCTTAATAAGTATTCTGTAAGCCTTTACCTATTTTGCATCGTGGGATTTGGGGGTTTTTGTTTTGTTTTGTTTTTTTCAAATAACACTTTTGAACATTTTCCTGTTTCATTTTTCTAGCACTTATCTATGTTCTTGTTAATATGAAGTCATAAAAGTGCTTATCTAACACTTCTGTGAGATTTATTCAGCCATGATAATTCAGTAGCGACACTGTTCTGCATTAAGTTAGCAACTGCTGTCTTTACATCTGGATGGAATTTACCTCATCACTTTCTTGCCAATGTCTAGGATTTAGTATCAATTCCAAATTTGCGTGCCAGTTTTGTACAAGGATTACTTGTATGTAGTACTCTGAAACTTTGTAACAGTCCTACCATGTAAAATTCTGTTTTTAAGAGGAGGCAAAGATTAGCTCACCAAGCTTAATTGTTTTATTGTTAGGTTCAAATTTACTAAATCTTAGCTTTTCATTTTTCATAGGAGTTAGTGGTTCAGTTCTGTACTAGCTGTAGAGCCTGATATGCCACTGGACTTTGACAGTGGTAATATTCTGTCCTCATATACTCTTCTTTGTCTCAGTTATCTCCTATTACTTGCTTTGCTCTTGTCATGATTTTAGATGACATTTAATTTCTTTTCCTTAAATTTTTATTTTTTCAAAAGATGAAAAGATACTTGTTTGCTTTGCTTAAACAACACCACTTACTAGTGTCAGTATCTTGTACAATTAACATTACCAGTTCTTAAAATTTTTGGCTCATGCACTGCATTTATTATTCTTTGCTTGGTTGCCTAAACTACTTAAACTCTACGATTGCATTCTTTAAATGAAGCTTTTAAACCATATTTTTGTAATTCTGTGTGAGTCTGTTCTGTGAAGTTGATGTGCTCTCATATTGAGGTTGTTGTAGTTACTTCCTTTATTCCCCGTTGCCATCAGCTAATTTCATTTTTTGGGTCCACATGAAAGCAGTGTCAATTTTTATGTAGAAAGCTGAAGTGCACAGTAATATTGTTTGATATTTCATTTCTGGTTTAGGTTGATGAAACTGGTGCTAGTGTTCTTTTTAACTTATTCTTTATATCTGTTATATTTCTGGAGTTCTCCATCTTTAGGTAATAATTTTGTTAGGATTAGGCCCTTACTGATTGCGTGACATGAAAATCTGTACCTATTTCATCAGGATTGAGAGTGAAAACTGAACATCCCATTGGTGTCTGTATGCCTCTAGCACTATTACGACATCACTCCAATATGCACACTGCAAATGAGAAAACATGAAGCTTGGAGTGGCCATAGAGATTTTTCTTTGTAGAGATGCTGTTCTTTGAATAGAGCTGTGCAGACATTCTTCCTGTAGCTATTAAACAAATTAAGAATGTCTGTCTCCTTCTAGAATCTTACAAGTTTTCAACAATTTTGAGAGTGGGGAAAGGAGAAGAGAGGAAAACTCTACCGTATTTCCCCTATTACACAACACAGTCTTTCACTACTTTAGATGGATTATTTTGTGAATCTTTCTTTCTTGCAGAAAGTTTATCTTCTATGCAGATGTTCCTTTTGCTGAAGTAAATTTTCAGCATTTAGGAATTGTATTGTGAATTACTAAGCAGGTATCAAAATATTTTCTATCCTGCAGAACCTTCTAGAGTTAGAGACCTGGTGCATTTTCCGTTAGAGAGCCTTTGCCTCTTCCTGTAGTTTTGCTAGTAAGCTCTAATGCTGTCGTTTCAATGTGACAGATTAAATTTCTCTTATGCCTGTGAACAATGTCAAGAGAAGGAACGTGCATTTGAGTGTGGTAATGTAAATGAGGCAGCACACTTGAGATAGTCCTTCATGGACTAATTCACCCATAATCTCACCTTTTTATTGTGGTTATTCTTTTTTATGGTGCTTATTTTTTATTGAACATAAGGAACTCCTGATACTTTTTTTTTTTTAATCTATAAGGCAACAGTTATTTGCTACTTGGATATTCTGATCAGTTTAAAATGCTTGTTGGATGTTTTCATGGAAACAAAAATTATTCTGGCATTTTTTGTTATCTAGCTCTGGTGCCAGCATTAATTCCTTTCTTTGGCTAACCTTTCATGTTTACTGGCTATTCCTGAAGGAAGAAACAACAGAAGAAGACATAAGGACTAAATTAAAAGGTAAACTGAAAAGATTTATTGTACATGCAGGTTGTTCTGAGCCTCTAAAAAGCAGTAAGGTAGTACTATAAATCCCACCTTTTAGATATAAAATATTTCTTAGAGTTCCTGGACATTAAATGGCAGGATATCTATGTTGGGTTTTTTTGTGTTCTTTGAATCATTCATAATTTTTTAAAAATGTATATGTGTTGACATCCAGATCTTGTAGATAATATAGTGAGGGACAGGCATACATTCCTGTTTTCATTATTTTATTTACATATTCTTTTGAAGCATTATGAACATTCACAAGGTTAATGAAGCTACCACTGCTGTTCTTTGTACCTTTAATTTTGAGACTTAAAAGTGTCCTATTCTTTTTTGGTTTGGTTTGGGGTTTCTGGGTGTTTTTCCCTACTGCCTAGTGCCACCCTACTTACATGAGAATTCAACAGAGTCTGAACCTAGGTATCTGAGGAACCAGTTACTATGCTCAGCTAGGCAAAACCTATTCCTATACTAAAATTAAAACAGAATAAACTGGTACTTGGGAAGGTTATACGTATTAGCAGAATGTGAGAGTAGATGCGCTGGTAAAGGCAAGGGTTGACTACTGGGTTAAACAGGTGGGGTTTTCCTTGCTTGTTTGTTTTTTTGTTGGTTTGGATTGTTTTTTCCAAGTCAGTGGTAAAATTACCACTGATTTTTGTAACAGTAATCTTATTCAAAGCACCTTTTAAAATCACATCCAAGGAACATGTAATTATTATTTTTTCTTTTGGCACAGTAATGCTTCAATAGCAGAAACTAAATTTCATCTAGCTCTATACAGTTTATCTGATGTTCATTGTTTGGTATTGTACTTCTGTTTATTAGGATGGCTTATTAGGATGTAA